TGAGCAAAAGGAAGTTCTAGTATAGGCCTGTACCGTTTACAAGCTTCATGATTTGCTGCCAATTTGTAGAAACCAAAGTAAACTTCTGGCAGGACTCCTACATGCCATAGTAGTTAAAGAAACTATCGTCCCACCCTGGTTTTGACTACAAGGCTTGAAAGATTAATCTAATGTTTCTTTCTGCCCTCCTATTCTCTTTAGCTAAGAGAAGATTTAATTTAAAACTTTAAAAATATAATTCTGTAAAGTACCACTCTGGCTATCTACAGCCTTCACAAACCCGCAGTTAATTCTTTCTCATTCCTTCTTCCTCACTAATAAGCTTCAGCAACAGAAAGCCTTCACTATTAATTAGAAGCAAAAAGCTAGCAAACAGACCCAGTACCCTGATGTTTCACAGCTGTGTGAAAAGCTGCACAGAGACACCTGCTTATTTTCACAGCATTTCTTTTTACTCTTTATCATTCCACCCCTTAAATATGGTTTATAAAATGAGGCAGAAAAAAACAGATCATTTTGTGAAACGATAGCGAATGTGCACATCCCACCTTCACTGAAAGATACAAGTTGCCGCTACGCAATGTTGTTCAGCTGCTATAGCAGGAAGCAGGAATCAACTAAATTGATCTTGCCTGTTACAAAGCCTTACTCTGTAAAGTAAGGCTTCCCTGGTTGAGGTTACCTCAACCTTCAGGCACAACTTCAGATATCTAGTGCCAAGCGATTACATATACTGGACAATCAGAATTCCTGCTAAGATTTTGAAAGATATGTTGGACACAAAAAAATAGGATGCTAGTAAGTCTTCTTAATGACTATGTGGTCATTTAATTTCTGTTGAGCCTAGTGGGAATTAGGGAAGGAAGGGCTACGGCCACAAAACATTGACAATCCTGAAGTGCTTCTTACCAGGCTCAGTATATCTGCAAAACCAAATCACTGAGCCTCTTCCCAGAGTTTAGGTTGCCAAGTAAGCCTTGGACAGAGCACTTCCACGCTTCACGTTACCTGTCTGCCCAGACGCTGCCTCTGGGCTGAGGCCCCAGCCCCGACCTCCTGACAACACCGAGGAAGGACATCCCGGCCAACCTCCCTACTGCTGTGTCCCACCTCTGGGCCCTCGGGACCCAGGCAGTGGGCGTATTTACCTCAGAGGCAGGATAGGAAAATTCAAAGCCCCCAGACAGAAGAGAGAGATGAACCTGTCCAGTTTTATATCCCTTATCTATCTCTAACTATAGGGAAGATGGCCTCCTTTTTGGGACATGTTTTGTGAGAAACGGATGGCTTCCGTACCAGGCTAAAGGCCTTTACCCGGGAGCCGGAGACACGTGGCTCCGCGCAGCACCAAACAAAGGGTAAAATCCCTCAAATTCCCTCACCTCACCTGAACTAGGAGACCTCCAAATGTACACTGGCCATGCCCCACCTCCAAGGACAGGAATGTCTTCAAACAGATGAGCCAGGATGTGTCCCCAAAGCATACCGTGGAAAATACGGTATAGGTGCCTAATTTCAAGTTAGGGCTGATAATGAAGTGGTCAGTCATGCAGAAGTTAGGTGTTGCAGCATGCAGACTGGCAGTTCCTCCATACTGAAGGCTATAAACAATTTACGTTCCTAAGTTTCTACTCCATTTTCAGATAACTAGTATGTTTAAAACCTTAGCCAGTAGTCCTGTAGATACCCCATAAGCCAAATCAAAGACTTCTCCTAACAGCCACCAGTTTTTAGCATGTTTACTGAGTCTGATCTTTCTGTACCAGCTACTGGCTATCTCTAAAACTGAGATAACAAAAACAAATTAAATTCCTCAGTTGTACGAAAAGACTTTTTGAAAAGCGCAAGAACTGATAGACTTTTTTATTCATTTTTCTGTTTCAATGAACAGAATCTAGGTAACATTTCCTAACAACTTTAGTACAGTGTTAGCATTTTCCTTATAGGCACATAGGTCTGAAATCCTTGGCTTGTCACTAACTTGATGGAGTCAATGCGGCAACTGGGTCTTTCCACCAGTTGTTCTATACCAGTGTTTTCTTTTTGCTTAAAGTTACAGTAGCCTACATGTGCAGCATGTTTACACATTTCAAAGCAAAGGGTTTTACTGAACTTCTTTTTACTCTCTCACTGTATTCCTGCTTTGGAAGATTTCTAGTAAAGAAGAGGCAGACCTGATTCACTAAACTGAACTTCTTTAGGAAAACAGGATGAGAAAGATATGCCCATCAGGCAAAAAGAGAGAGAAGAAACAGTCCTTGCATGTACTTGTTTCCAGACAGAAATATTTGGCAGCATGTAAACAGCATCAAATAAGAACAACGCAATATGATCATATGCTAAGATAGCAACCCCAAATAAATAAACGATTATCATTATTCCAATTAATATTAATATAGCATGTTTTTATGATAAACAATATTTCTAAATCATCAAAACTTAGAGATGTGTGTGTGTATGTATATGTTTTTATATAGATTTTTAAAATCCTCACATAGTTCTCATCCTGGCCTACCAACACTTATCCAGAACCAGGCTGACCGACCAAGTAATCCACTTGAGTTTTCATGGTTATTTCACTGTATGGCTGAAAGTACCTATGACAGCTCCTTGAGATTCATTGTAGGAGAGAGGAAGCTATATGTAACAGGCAGCTACATACAATGTGGTTCTGATCTTCAGCCTGTTCATGTATTTTTCCTGCTACTATGCAGAAAGTGTTGACAAGGAGCACATTCTCCTAGCTAAACATGGTTCAGAGTTGGTCCAATCGGTTTATCCAGGTAAGCCAACGTTAAGTTTTGTTGCTGACTTTCAACTGAGTTAGCTCAGACCAGCTGTATTCTTCTGGAGAAAGTTTGTGGGATCATAGGGCAGGAAGAACACAAACCCAAAATCATTTGAGTTGTGTAAAGGAAAAGGTTTCATCTCTTGTAGTCTCTCTTCTGCAGGCAAGTAATACTCAATGCTTTCCTTGATAAAAGAAACCTCAGCAAAACAAACTGCACAGATAGCATGTTGAGAACCAGTTCGATTTTCCTTCCTCTAATACAAGTACCAAGTTAAAAAATTCAGCTGACAAATAACTGCCCTCAGATACCCATTGCCTGCTTCCTGAGTTGAGGTGCGCCTCCCCAGTGTTTCCTCCAGCCTTCACCGTCTTACATCCAAAGAAGAGCTGGGCTGGAATGACACACACCAGGAAACTGTACCCTGATGCAGAAATACAGCACTCATACAGATATATCTAACCAGTCATCAGCCACGGACATTATAAACAGAAAGAATTGCTATTTCTGGGTTCTGTATGGGTGTCTAGTAAACCTCCGTATATAAAATCTCCATTAGAGTTTAAAATAGACGGCTAGAGAGTAAAATCTTCATTAACTCACATATTTCTTCAACATGCAAGAAGAGCGCTTCTGAAGAGAGTCAGAAGCTAAGTCAGCTGTTACACATAACAAACTCTCAATAAGTAATTGAGATGACACCTAGGAAAGGTAAATCAACCTCTTTCTTATGCACACCAAAGGGACTGAAAATGGTTCCTTTAACATGCCCAGAACTTTCAGACTAATTTTTATGTATTCTCAGAGGGTTCTAAATGCATTCACAGAATAACTATCGTGTAGTGTGCGTGGGAGAGAGATAAATACATATTTCACAGAGATTTAAATGCAGATCACATTGCTTTATGAAGATTCAAATTTCCTAGACTTTCATAGCAGAACTGGTATGTTCTACCTGAAGAAGTGCATTGAAAACGTCATGAATGTCATAGTGCCTTACTTGTTCTCGTTGCTGGCATCATACCGAGGCATGGGGTCAAAATCATTTCCATTGACATCAAAACTGGCCTGTGAATCCTGTAGCCAACAGGACAAAGAAAACCAGTTTCTCATTAATTAGCCATTGACTCATCTGGCCTATATTCTTCAGCAGGTTTCTACAGGGAGTCATGAGGTTAACTAACATTCCTGCGGTTTTATGATGACTGCATTTTTTAGGAAAGGATTGCATATTTAATAATTACAGGATTTACACATTTTATTTGATTTTTTGAAAAGGGAGGAGGATAACAAATGCCCTGGAAAAGTATAGTTCCAATGTCTGTGAGGAAGTAGAAAGAGGTGTTTTATTAAGTCAGAAGGCTATATGCCGTCTAAGAAATTTGGAAATCCTGTGTGTTCATTCTCAAAATCAGGATTTTGCTAAATGTTTCAAGATTCAAGAAGATGATGACTGAAACTGCAGTCACAGCTTCAAGCAACCTGAACAACATCATTTTCCTAAGAAAATTTTTATTAAAACATAGCTTGAAATGCAACTTAAACTACATTCCCTGGAAATAAAAGGTGCCTCTCTAAATAGTCCCTCCTTTGTCTGGGTGTGTAACTGTTTCAAATATATGCAAAATATCTGCGCATTTTTGCTCCATATTTTACATTTACCAGGATTCTTAGAGCTGAAAATAGTTTATAGAGCAAATAGCTGCTGGTTTGTATGGCTCCCACTAATTGAGGTGGTAGTGTGCGCTATGTTGACATGGTAAGCAATTCTTTTTAATCTCTTCTTTGTTCAAAACCAGTTACCACAACCACCTCAAATATTCCTGTTTGCAGCCACACCAGCAATAATCCAACATATAGACGGCATTTGTCATCAAACAAGCAACGTGTATTGCTCTGGGGGAATTCCTTGTTGGTACAAGGAAAAGAGAGAGGATGTGGTAAGGGAATAAATAGCTGCTTTAAATTCAGCAGAAGGACAGTACAGGGATGAAGTGACATCTGATACAGTTTGGGTCATTCAGTGAGGAAGTAAAATCATATTTGGTTTGTTTAAATGACTTCAGAGATTAAAATGAAAGATGTAGCATGCATTAAGATCAAACTAGGCATACGGTGACAAGCAGGGCAATATCCTGTCATTTGTGTTTATGCAGTTATCCTCATGCATTTTAAAGCTCAGTTCCACATGCAGGATGGGGAAGGATATGGATGTAAGCGTGGCTAACTTAAAATAAATGTGGACATCGGGGTGGCTTGATGAGTTGTTAATGATGTCATCATCATCTTCACCTCCTGAATGCTCTGTTGAGACGATACGCTCCCTGGCACACAGCCTGTGTTCAGCATAGGTCTCTCTTACAAGATCTATGCCTCTTATGGGCCTGAAGGTATATACCTGCCTTGTGTTGGTCATCGTCACCAATCTGACTCAGTCTAAATAGATTTGTTTTCTTACCTCCTGTGAACGTACAGCTCGCACATTTCATTTCAGAGAAATAATAAGGTCCTCAAGGTCATATGCATTCTGGGTAATACCTATTCCTGAAGCATGGGAATAATCACTGCAGCAAAGCACAGCCCTGACATTCTAAACAGCTTCAAATCAAGAAATCACCCACTAGTGAGGCAGCCTCTGCTCATGTTATGCAATCCTTCCAAGGTATATTAAAGCAATCATTTAAATGTGATGAACCACAAGCAAACAGAAACCTTCTGAGGCTTTATGAAACAAATGGCAAACACAAGGGACAGTTCTATTACAAACTGGGAGGGGACTCACTGGAGTTTTAATAGAGACTTAATAGAAAGACCCCAAAATATTCTACATAAAAAATAAAATATATAAAATTATAGAGTTTTGAGAAGATTTGCTGTCCTGCTAGCTAAATGTATTGGCCAAAAATGGATTTCAGCTGCATGCATTAACTTAAAAGCAGTGTATTCCATTCCTAAGTTCTGAGAGTGTTGAGAGTGTGAGAATATTAACTAAAATAATTACAGAGAAGAGAAAGAACTTCAGATGATTGGTTCCAGTCCTTCAGAAATGCAGGACTCAATTATGAAAGGCATTCAGATATTGAAGACATTCAGACTGCACATAGTCTTAAAAGAACACAGATTACCAAAAGCTGTCTGTTTTCCTCCTGGGAGAATGTTTTCTTCCCATTGGTGTTACCATTTGAGGAAATCCTCGTAGGAGTCCCCTCCCTCCCTTCTCCCTCTTTCTCCAGCAACCAGAACATGTTTGTCTCTCTATCAACAGCAAATTTATTGCAGGGTAATAATAAAGCAGCAAATCTGGACTACTGCAGAGACTCACATAATTCTGCATCAAGTCAGGATGGTTTCTTTCAATGCCGTCATCCAGGATGGTGACCACAACGTTCTTTCCAGTGTAGCCTCTCTTCCAAGCACCTACTATATTCATATCTGATTGGCAATGATGGGTGTTATCACTGCAGTGCTAGAGAGAGAAGGGGAGATTAAAGTGTTGGATGTTGCAGATTACTGAACACTGTGGGGTTGAGATATGAGCGTTTTCACATCAACATTACCATTTAAATTAGCAGACTAGCATATTGATTTGAATGTCAACTATAAAAGATCAACATCTACATTTAGAAATACACAAATAATTAAAAAAGAAATGTCAAATTAAATTAAAATTGCTAGACCTGCTTATTTCTTTGTCAGATTACTCTTCACGTTAAGCAACACAAAAGGGACGTGTTCATCCATAGTGAGCTAGTAGAAGCCCTGTGTAAAATAAAGCAACTATTCCTGACTGCTAAGCACATTTGTTCGAAATGTGCGTTTGAACTGTTTGAAATTTTTCTGAAAAACAAACCATGTGTGGATAAAAGTTGAAAAATGCCTGTACTGAAACAGCCATGGAAACACAACCTGCTTTTTGGAGCTTATGTGCTGTATAATTTCTTGACAGAATGTCTGGAAACTAATCCAGATTCATTTCTATCTACAAAAGAACGCTTTTGGCAGGTTTTGTGCAATATCACCAGGAGATGAGCAGCAGTTAAAAACCTGTAACCCAAACAGCACTCTGAAAAACTTGCAGCTTAAGGTATCTGATGAATTGTGGATCGGTACATTGTGGACAGCCTAGGGTACAACTTTCTGAGCGACCAAGCAGGGTGTGGGGGAGAAAGAAAGTTTAGGGTACATTAACACTGAAAGCCCCTTCCTTGACATGAATGCACTCAGTTCACAGGACAAAATCTGGCTTGCCATGGCAATGAGACATGACCCTCTGGGTATTTGTACATCCCATTAGCAACTCCCTGACCCACAGGCAAAGCCATCCCCGTAAGGGGGGTCCAACCGACCCCTCATCAGTGCTGCTTTTCTCCAGCTCCTCCCGTCTCAGCCGGAGCAACAGGCAAAAAAGTAGGGTGGGGGGAAGGGGGAGAGTGGAGAGTGGGAAGAAGGAGAAAGAAATCCAAAAAATTAAAAAAAAAAAAAGAAAACTTGGATCATAGGAACAGCAGCCATGTGAGCACTCTCAGCATTCACTCCTCTGCCCCACAGCCTTGTACCTCCATCTCGGGGTAATGTTTCAGCACTCTGCACGTTGTGCGTCATATGAATACGTTCACAGAGATGCATTTTGCCTCGATTTAGTCCATCCCTCTCCTCCCGAATGTAAGCACGCTGAAGGCAACCACTAGCCGCATTTGGTGCAAACCTGACTGATGTCAAGATTACTATCAAGCTGTACTTTTCCTCCTCCTTTTTCTCATTCACGCTCCTGTACTTTCATATACAAACCAGAGGATTTAGGTGGTCACCTGCTGTTACTAAATTAAAACTATGTTATTAGGTACTATATATACACACATAGTATGAAGTCCCTCTTACTCTCTTTCCTTGTGTGTATATGTCTAAGAATATTTATATATATAAAACATCTATATATACATATATATACACACACACACACACACACACACACTTTAAGGCATTTGAAAGACTTTAGGGACCAACTCCAAGGAACGTACAGGCCAGGCTTAATTTTTTTTGTTTTGTATATTGCTTGGAAAAGTTTGCACTGCTAGTTTTATGAGGAGGATCACCTGCTAGACTTGCCCTCTGCACACTGAATGCAACAGTTGCACAGGTGAGGCTGTCTAATGTACAAACAGCAGGGGTAAAAATGGATAGTGTTTCCAAATCCCTTTGCATTTCTCAAAAGCATTACTGAATTATGAGTAGAAAACACCTGCAAGAGAGATGAATACCACTATTCACAGTTTGCTGGTGTGAAGACATGGAGCTGGTGAGGTGCGAGCCCCTGCCCTCGCTGCAGAACAAGCCCAAGAGCTGGCAAAGGCAGCCAGGCTCCCGGCTCCCGGCTGCCCTGACGCAGCAATTGCACCCGCTGGGTGCCCCTGGCCTGCAGCGGCAGCTCCAAAGCCAGCAACGAAATCAAAAGATTTTCCTGCTGGTTTCAGGGAAAGCCCTTGCACATCGCTGTTGCTCTCCAGCGTAGACTTTCCCTTTGACCGCGTCGACTGGAGCGGATTGCTCTGATTCCTGACGCTTCACACCTCCTGATGAAGCGCTGGAGTGTGCAGGGCCATTGCACCATCCCTTCATCTCTGAGATGCGCAGCAACCCTCTGGCTGCTTTACTACCTGTCTTGCCCTCTTGTCTCAGGGGACAAGCCAGTTGCTCTACTCCTAGGCCAGCCAAACCTCCCTGGCTAAGCAAACACATGCGTTTTTAATCCCTTTTCCCTTGCACGTTCTTTGGCTCTCCGCCAGGGGATGAATGCTTTTCCCCTTCACAATGTCAGCACAGCTGGTTGCCCTCCCTCACCTTACCTGAACTCCTGCTTTCGTGGCGGCAGCAGAAGGGGGGCTCATTCATCAGCTGCTCTGCTGCATGTATGTACGCAAACACAAGATAAGGTACATCTGCTGCTTTCCTGAGCGCTCTGTTCATTCTCTCAAAAGACGCGCCAGATCAAATTGATATTCAAATGGCTTTGCTCTGCTCCAAAAGAGAGCAGAAAGCTAGTCTAAACAAAATCTTCCGCTATAAAAGAAATTCCAGGGGTAAAGCAAGCACAGCTGAATGCCCCCCTATAACTTGGGATCACAGCACAGGTAACATATGGATAGCAAATGCAAAGGTAGTAGAGACAACCCAGCTGGAGGAGTTCAACAGCAGATGAAGGGTTCAGTTTTTATTACAATATTCAGCTTATTCTCAACTCCTACTAGAAATAGCCTATTTTGTTTTCTTTCCACCTCTGCTCCTTACTCTTCTTCCTCCTCTCTCATGTATTTTTAACCATGCTCTTCCTGCCATGTTCCCAGCCCTGTTCTTCTCTCCCCTTACTGGCTGTTAGCGTTTGTATTCCAGTTTTGTTTGGTTCAACATCTGATCTCAGATCCCTGTATTTTCACTACAAGCTATACCTTCCCCCGCGGACTAGTAGGTGATCTTCTCCAGACTAAATGATTGCGCACATTGCTCTCAAAGCAGTCAGGAGATTTGGCTTTAATCAGAAACACTGTAAATCTTAGAGTGCAATTACTCTTCAAGTACTATATAATATGGCGTGCCATTCCATATGAAACAGCATCTAACATGCCATCTGTAACTTGGTTTCATTCGTTCTCTTTCCTTCAAAATCATTTCTTGTAAGGAATTTTCCACTATTGAGTTCCATTCTACTGCTTTTCTTTAACCATGTGCTGCTTCTTAAACATTCATCCAAATTGCATTGTCAGCTGCTTAGCAGAGGACACTTTTTAATGAATTTGGAGGCGCTGCTTAGATTTACAGTGCTACCCAAATGACAAATACTAAAACTTCTGTCATGCTAATAAAAATTATGTAATTTGAATTCATTGGATTTTGTATGAATGGGCAAGTACTGAATTATCAGAATAATATTCAATATAGTTTTCCTCTCCTCTCTTTTCTGAATAAAAATAAACTCTGTCATATTAATGTACAGAAGCTGTAGGGTCGGGAGGATTTTCATCTTTGATGAAAGATCCATTCATCTTTGAACTGTTGTTTTTGAATTTTAATTTAGGCAATAGTATAAACTAGGCTAGTCTTTGGAATTTCCCCCCTCTCCCAGCAGATTAAGTAATTCAGAAATTTCCTGCATTGGTGCCATGACTAGATAGTCGCAGTAAGCCAGCCCATTTCAACATACATTGTTTTCATCTATCGCCTGGAGGATACCATCAGAAGGACAAAACAACCCCTCACCCAGTTACATAAAGTAATTTCATTTTATGTTTTTAAAGGCAGTTAATGGATGATGTTTTTCTTTAGATTGTTTAATTGGAAAATTATAAAGATAACACAGTTAGCATTTAATAGGAACTGTCTGCAGGGTGGAAAGACTCCTGAAGGACATTTAGGAAGGAAGAGGCGCATAGTCAGGAAAATTTCAGATCCAGGACTTTCCTCATACTTGAAATGTAAGTCTTACAAGGGTAAAGGCCAAAGGAATCCCTTGGATGCCTTTTGGAAAGACAATTGAGAAGCTACCCTTACAATTAAAAAGCAGACACTACATTAAAAAGGTCTTCTGTTTTCATATACTAGGTTCTAATCACTTGCAATGCATGCTCAATGTCAGACGTGTCTGGATCCTCTTAGCTATTTTGTGAAATTGTCTCTAAAAAATAGCATACTGTCACTATTGTTATCTTAATCTTTTTGTCTGCTGAGCTAATTCTGATGGTCTTAGGATTGGTGTACCCAATTAGGGATCAATAACAAAATTGAACTGCTGTTCTGAGAAATCAGGATTCGTATTAATGGTCTAAATCTTTTGGAATTCCAAAGTGAAAAGTCAAATTAGCAGTAAGATGACTGTAAAGTTCTGTTCTATCTTTTGCAATACCTGTTGACCTATAAAAGCAGAACAGAGACAGAAGTTTCTAACCCTATGTTGATCTTAACACATAGATTCTCGGAGCAGAATAAAAACAGGAGTGCCTAATCCTGTGGCATCCAGTTTCTCAGAAAACGGCACATCATGCCCTCTGTAAAACTTCACGAAGTACATAGCATTGGTTTGCTGTGATTTTTGAGTTAGGAGAAGTTAAAGATGTTGTCAATATCTAAGCAGCACAGAGAATCACAAGATAATGATCAGGATGACCCAATTTTAAAGATCAATCATGTGAGTCGGCAGGTCTTGGGATCAATTTGGTGGAACATTACATATGCTTCGGACCCCAGGAAAACTCTGAGTACTAGTCCCCATTCAGAGATTAGAAATGATAGACCCTTACAGTATTAAAAGAGAAACTCCTTCTGGTTTCATTCGAAGGGTATCTAAAAGGTCCTTGGCACAGGCAGAACTAAGCCATGCAGGTTATGGTCCTGTTCCTTCCATCAAGGGCTTTGTCAGATACTAAGCTGTGAGTAAGGACAGGACGGAGAGGAAAAAGGACAGTCAACGTCGTGCCA